AGGCAAAATGGCCTCTACTGTCTTTCCCATTGTTAAATTGTTTGAAATTTACACATATATACTTCTACGTTTTTCTAAATTTTGGATGTTTATATGAACACTTTGAATCAACAGTAGCTCAGCTGGTGCTTGGATCACTCACTCTGATTAGATTGAGCCTATTTTCAATGTTACTAGTCGAGTTCTTATGTGTATCATTAGCCAACATAACAAAATCGCAAAATTACTAGCATGATCTTTCTTGGTAGTTCAATTTTCAGTTAATTAGTCTTATAAAACTATTTTTATCAACAAGATAACATTTGATTTTGTGCCCTGAGTTATTTAATAATCAAAATAAACAAGGACAAGATTACTTTTCCGTTGAATTGATTGATTCTACGGTATATGACAATTTTAGTTATTTTTAAACAATTTTTCTTGAATTTATAAATAAAAAATCTCCATATATTTTAAATATATTTTTTTCGAAATTCAGCAAACGAAACCCTTCCGACTAGGATTTCTTCAACTTCACCAGATTTAACCGATTTAGTCAATTTTAGTAGCATTATTCATCACTTTTATAACTTTAGTTGATTAATTACATTTGTTGTCATAGGCGGATACATGGGGAAATCATAAATCCTTAATGTACATTCTTTTATGTACACCATTCACACATATTGTATGTCTATGCATCTAAGATTACATTCTTTTATCTGTATATTGACACTTTTGTAGTTACAAGCAAAATTGTCTATACACAGACAACTCCTTTCGCCTAGACAGTGTGCAAAGAGTGTACACTTATCATTTTGTGTACACCAAACATTTTTACGCACCAAACATTTTTGGAAAAAATGACTGGAATAATCCGAACTATCACCCGTACACTTCTAATAATCCGTAGTACGGATTATTTCTGTTTAATCCCAACTTAGTGGGATGTCTTTCGCCAGTAGACTGTGACCGGTTAGCAAACATGGGAGTCGGTCATACCTTCACGTGATAGGCACATGTGTAATTAATAAACCTATTTTTCATTTATCGTATTTATATCTCGTCATCTCCTCATCTCCTTCATCTATCTTTTTCATCGCTTGTTTGTGTACCAGAGGACGTCGCCAATTGAAACACAGATTTTGTCTACCCAGAGGACGTCGCCCAACTGAATTGGTTCAACATCTCGGTCGTCGTCTTTGGCTAGAAGGGATGAAACCCGAATGGTCTGTGCAGTTGAATGCCACCACAAGGTGTGTCCCAAACCTAGGACTGTGAAATCTGGGCCAAACTGCGGTAGAAGATTCTATGGATGTGAGTTCTGGCCAGTAAGTTGGAGTCATTCTTGTTTTTTTCAACATTATGTATGAAATATTTCAATGAATTGTGCTGGTGATTTTTTGGGGCTTTTCTTAGAAATCAGATTGCTCATTTTTCCAATGGGTTGAAGAATATCCACCGCCCATGGCCTCTGATGATGACACTCAAACTTCAAAGGAAAGAGTAATGAACCAACTGGAAAAAAAAAGCTTTAGAAGATGAGATTGCAAAGTTGAAAAAGAAGAAAGAAAAGATGAGAGCTGGAATCCAGGAGCTGTAGACATTAGTATGCAAGCATGCCAAAAGAGATAAATATGCATTTTAGGTCTACTGGTTTCTTGGATTGTGTTTGCCATTGTGTTGTATGGAAAATCCAAGTGATAATTTGGATAGGCTTGATGATGACTTTTGTAAGACTGTTAGAAGCTTGTTTGATTTTCTGTTGTTTCAGAAGTGAAATTGATGTAACTTTCTTTGTTTGTGTTGTTTAATTTTCCTTAATGCAAAGCTGGATTGAGATTTATGTGTGTGATGTGTTATTATAATGTTGTAATGTTGGTTTTATTTTGAACAAGATTTACTTGAAATGTATGGAACCTGAAATGCATATTGGTCTGCAAATGGTGACAAAAGAAACTGTAAATTTCAGAGTCTGTACACAAAAGAATATGCATAGAATCTGTCCTGAACCATGATCTTTCCAGCCAATTCCTTCTTTAAAAGCTTTCATGGCAATGCTTTATGGCATTAAAGATTTAGTACATTAAATACTGCTAAGTAAATCTATGTTTAGATGCCTTCTCCTTATACAGTAGCACAACATTACTCAAAACAACAACTACAAACAACCTCAAGTGATATGCACACTTATCTGCAAACTCATATGCAAAGTAAAGAGAAGAGATATTGTCACGCCCCGGACCTATCCGGGCACGTCAACAATCCGCCGTACAGTACGAATAGTCAACCGCAGTCCAACACATTCATACTATACAAGGCGTCCGAGATATCAATCACGCATAGTACATCCATAAACAAACATAATGTAAAATATTCATTCAAAGCAGCGGGAACATTTGGTACAAGTGTTCATGCCACACTTTGGCAAACAAGGGCATACAAGCCCCCATTAAATATTCAATAGAAAAACATTATCCATGAGCATTAATTAAAGTGTTTGAAAAATGGAATCTGAAGAGGCACGAACCACGTCTCCTCTTCTTGGATCCTACCCGAGCAACGGTGATGGCAGCAAGCTTTACTCCCTACCTGAAACTGTGAGGTGGCCTCCCCCGTGAAGGGGAGGTCAGTACTTGGAAGCATTTGACAAGTACAATGACAACTATACTAAGTATAATCAAAGTTTCAATTTCCAAGACCCTCAATCTAAGATGTTATTCATTTATAATTAACTCTTGTCCTCCATGCTAGAGCTCGGCTCATAGTCATATCAATTTGTGCTAGAGCTCGGCTCATAGTCACCCTACGTTTGCTAGAGCTCGGCTCATAGTCATACTAATTTGTGCTAGAGCTCGGCTCATAGTCACCCTACGCTTGCTAGAGCTCGGCTCATAGTCATACTAATTTGTGCTAGAGCTCGGCTCATAGTCACCCTACCACGTGCTAGAGCTCGGCTCATAGTCACGTCAACTAATCCCTAAACCACTTCTTAGTCTAGGTTCCATCCATTTTGAGTAACCCCTAAGGCTTACTCCAAATGTAACTTAAGTTCATAACAATTTGGATATTTCAATTAAATTCCTCATTCAAGTATAACTTGGCTCTAATATCAAAATATCACTTTTATCCTTCCATGACTTTCTTACATGAGGTAAAAGTATATTTATCACAATTTAGTTTATAGTTTACACAACTATGATGTCATTGTATTCATAACACACAATCATACACAATTTGTTCATAAATTTGTATATTATGCATTTTTACTTATAAACAATAATAATCTCACTTAGGCATCTTTTTATTATAAATAAATCATGCCAAACACATATAATTCATTTAGGTAATCTTATGAAATTAACCCAATAATTATAAGCAATATAGTCGGTCATCCTCACCTTAAGTGAGCTCACGCGCGTTCTACGCTCTCCGGTTGAACTTTGACTAATTTCCGGTGAACTTTGACCAACTCCGGCGAACTTTGACCAACTCCGGCGAAACTCCGGCGAAGCTCAAAAATACTTTAATCAAGTTCCTAACAATGTTTTAACATCATAAAACCTTAATCAATACAAATAACCCCTAAAAGGTTATTTTCCGGTGAACTTGTCGGTTTGGCTTCTAAATCCGTTCTTGGACTTAGAACCACTCTCCAACCCATTATTCTACACTTAAATTATGTAGAACAACCCTCAAGGATCTTCATATGATATATATCTCATATGATAGAAGAAAAATAGAGGAAAAGTTATGATAAGGTCATTACCTTAATTTTCACACTTTTTCCTAGCTTTTTTCCTTCTTTAATCTTCCTCCTTGGAACTCCTTTGCTTGAGCTCGAATTTGCTATGGAGGATGGTGGTTTGCAGAGGTTTCTTCTTCCCTTGGTGTGTCTTGGCCGAACTCAATGAGTGGGAGAGGAGGGAGGATAGTTTCTTTTGTCTTTCTTTGCAAATGAGTAAGGAAATGGGGGTCCACTAGGTGTCAAAGGTGTTCCTCCCATCCTTTCACTTGTCCTCCAGCCCTCCTAGCACTCAATCAGCCCCCTTTGGGTTGACAATTTCGTGGGGTGGCCCCCACCCATGTGGGAGGTCATCCCAATTCGTCCCGAAGTGTACAATCGGTCCCGAAAGTTGTATTTTTCGGACTGTTTTAAATATATTTTATTTTATCGGGTCAAATAAAATATATTATGTGCTATTAATCATTATGACCCTTATAATGAATTTACATTCCCCAACTTTAAATTTATAAGTCCCCGAAATTCAATTTCGGGCTTATATCGGTTAAATCGCCAATACCGGTATTTGAGCCCCTTTTGACCAATCGGCCAACTCCGGACCTTTCCATGGCTCAATTGAGTTATCCATCACCATACGAATATTATCTAGACCAAAATAAATAATTTATGTGGTCCCGGAAATGTCGGGCGGCTCTCGCTCCCGGTGCGGGCCCCACGTGCGAATTTACTATTCGTGCGAAAGAATTAATAAAAATTCGTAACATCATAAATTCTCTAACCATTCCATAAGGTTAAAATATAATATTCACATAAAAGTAAATACATTTGGGGACGGTGTTACAGATATGCAAACAGATATGAAAACTAAAGAATAAGTAATATGAAAACTGACAAACTATAGACTTAAAGGTGCAAACTGACAAACTATAGACCAAGTGATTCGTCTGCAAAATGTAAATTTTTGAAAACTATAGATCAAGTGATATGTAAACTGATATGCAAACTGACAAAATGTAAATTTCTGAAAACTATATACCAAGTGATTTAAGCACCATCCAATAAGATATAGACCAAGTGACAAGGTATACACCAACTGACAAACTATAGACCAAGTGATATGCCAATTGATAAGCACCATCTAAAACTTAAAGGTGCTATACTAACCATGCTCATGGATCCAAGAACTTCATCTCAGGTCAAAAATTGTAAGGAGTCCAACAAAGATACAATACAAATATCCATACAAAAGTACAGTCAACCATGACCATTATCCATACAAATATCCATCATTATCCTTAAATCAGACAAACATTACTCAAATCAAATTCACTACAGTGCCACAGATACAGAAACATGAAACAGATGAAATACAACTTCATCATTATCCTTACAAACACAATAACATTTAACACAACATTAGTCTAGTGAAACATAACAGCCCTCTTCACTCCTACTCTTCACTCCTTCATTGTTGAATAGCCACTTCATGTTTGTGACAGATTTGTTGGCCCTCCTTGTTGTCCTCTGTCAATAGGAACATCAAGTTAGTCCAACCACATATATGAAATATACTAATATAATACATGTATAAAGTAGTGGTCTTTCTTACATTCGTCCAAGTATGCCCCTTCTCATCAACAATTACACGATATCCCACGAGAAGATGCCCTCTTCCTCTTCCACCCCTAGCCACTTTGCTTCCACCTCTAATCACTCCTCTGCCATGAATTACCATGCCTCTTCTGCCAATTCTAGATGGAACAGCTGCTGTTGTGTGACTGCTAGAGGTAGCTACATCCTGGATCTGTTTTCTTGGTCTTCCCCTAATCCTTTTGGGCTCAGGGTCCACAGACTTGTTTTTATCAGGGCATTTACTCTTATTGTGGGTCTTACTTTTGCAAATACTACATGACATTTCAACCTCATGTCTAGTTAATTTCCAAGGTTTCTTTGGGTCCTCATGTGACACTTGAGATTTAATATAAACGGATTAATAGTACTACTCATACCAACAGAGGTGCATCTCCTTTTAAGAGAGCTCATCACCCAAGAACTCCAAAATTAAGCGTGCTTGCACGGGAGTAGTCTTGGGATGGGTGACCCCCTGGGAAGTTTCTCAGGGCGCGCATGAGTGAGGACAAAGTGCGCGGTAAAGGCTTGTGGTGGTTTGTGGGGACAGTACTATTGGTCCGGAGTAACTACCTCGGGTCCCACGGGGCCGGGGTGTTACAGGTGGTATCAGAGCAACCCTGCGACAGTGTGTTGATCCGTTGGATATCGGGCGGGCACTTAGCAGGGGAAAAGATTCTGGGGTGTGATTGAGATTGGTTTAAGGGCGCAACGAGGACGTTGCGATCCTAAGTGGGGGTGATTGTAATACCCGAGATTAATTTAAGAGGATTAATAGTACTACTCATACCAACAGAGGTGCATCTCCTTTTAAGGGAGCTCATCACCCAAGAACTCCAAAGTTAAGTGTGCTTGCACGGGAGTAGTCTTGGGATGGGTGACCCCCTGGGAAGTTTCTCAGGGCGCGCATGAGTGAGGACAAAGTGCGCGGTAAAGGCTCATGGTGGTTTGTGGGGACAGTACTATTGGTCTGGAGTAACTACCTCGGGTCCGGTGGGGCCGGGGTGTTACACCTCATGGGCAGGTTTAATTCTATTTTTGATTGGTCTGCCAGGGCCAATGTTTATGGGTGGGGGTCAAAAGGGAAGTCCACTTTTGGCCAGTGCCTTTCTCCAGTTAATGGGGCAATGCCACCAGAGTACATTTTCAGATATGCCTCTCTACTATATCACTCATTAACATAATCCTCAGGGGCTGCATTGATAAAAAAACATACAAGAGACTGCATGACAACATGGAATATCACTAAGGTCCCATTTTCTGCAAGTACAACTCTGACTTTCAAGGTTGATAGTCAAAGTATCTAAATAATGGCTGACCTGAAAAGACACTTCACTCATAATTCTAGGACAGATCACAGCCACACTTTTTCCATAGCCCGCCTTTTCATCACCATTCTTTGCTTCAAGGCACCCATAATATCTTCTAGCATTGATTGTGTAGCCATTAAATGTTTCAACTATGTTGCTAACAATGACATCACACCTAATGTTTCTCCTAACATAGGCTATACAAAAGACATAGGGATTACATGCCTTGAAGGCAACCATAGCACTTGGACTTACCTTTTCCATTTCATGTAGTGCATCATTTAAATCAGCTTCATTGTAGGCTTTCACTGCTTTCCAGAATATCATTTTCAATTCATCTCCCTTATGAGTTTTGTGCCAATTAGCATAAACATGGCGTGCACAGTGTCTATGCTCTGCCAGTGGAAACACTATTGACACTGCACGCAATATAGACTGCCACATGAAACAAGCATTAGATCATATCCATGTAAAGGTAATGAAAAGTAAAAACAGCACAAAGGTTACCTGGTGTTCATCTGAAATAAAAGTCAGGTCAGAACCATCAGACTCTCCTACATTTTTCTTCAGCTCAGACATAAACCACTCCCAACTACAATTGTTTTCACCTTCTACTACTGCTCATGCTAATAGGAACATCTGCTCATTGGAGTCTCTCCCCAGTCCCCACAGTTGAGAGTAGCATCCCTCCAAGAAATGTTTTGATGAAGCACCCACCCACACACAAAACTTTCCTACCAGCACTCAACCACCCATCTTTAATCCCATTGAATCATACAAAGAAGCGCTGGAAGGTGGGGGGAGGGGGGTTTGAGGGTTAGGGTCTGTGAGTAATTTGAAGTGGGTGAGGGGGTTAGCTTGGTTTAAGGCTTCCAAATATCTTCCTAGCTTATTATAGTGATCTTTCATGCTACCATGGAGCTTCCTATGTGCATGGTATTTGACTTTGAATGGATAGTCCCTCTTAACAAAAACTTTAGAACCTCTTCCAATGGTCTCAATTACTTCTTTTGCTGACCAGTGAGGTCTAGACTTAAACACTTCTAGGAATTGCTCTGCCACCCATGAAGCCTTCAACTACCTATTCTTTTTCATGTTCCCATTACAATTATGCTCCCCTTGGACAGACTTAACCACAAACCTAACCCTCCTACTATCCCAACTTTCATACAATCTAAAAGGACAACCATCAACACATTTAGCACCAACCCTTTGTTGTTTACCCTTACTACTGACATTGATCTTCAGATTTCTGCCTTGAGATATTGCAAACCTAGCAACTACATCCTTAAATTTCTCTATGTTTTCAAACCGCATACCAACCAGCCACTTCAACTTATTGAAATCTGTATGTGCATCCATTACAACAATTTTATCTCTTTTGTTTCTTCAGAGACTATCTTCATTATCACTGTCCACAAGTGTGTGGATATCTTCTTCAGATTTTTCATACTCACTGACAAAATCATTCTCATCTGAACCACCATCATCAGTACACCCTGTAGATGATGCCTTTTTACCCCCTACCACGCCTTCAACAGCTTCCTTTTCAAGCTGTTTTGCAATGTGAACAACATTTGAATTCCACCCTGTAACTCTTCTTCTAGACTCCATGAATTCTTCATCACTAGTGTCATTATCTGACCCAAATAACGGGGCCTCTAGATCATGTTCATCTTCCATTTCAGCATCTTCATCTTCTGCATTGTGTTCTGAATCAACATTATCATCATCAAAGGGGTCAGATTCATTTAGATCAGAAGTATTTGTTTCTTCACCACTACCTCCTTGGGTAGTTTGTGCAACAGTACCTCTATTTTCCCCACTCCCTTCCAGCAACCCTACAAGTTCAAGTGTACTGACTCCATGTTTATGTACAAATCTATAGTACTGCATTGCATTACTACATTATACATTCCCCTCACCTCAGCATCACACTTAACACTTTTCAAACCTGTCTCCAAAGTCTTACCAGGGACCAAGTAATAGATTTCATCTATGCTACTATATTTCCCACACTGGCCAGCTAAGTCCTCTAACCAAAACCAACATAGTTCATCAGCATCCAAATCAAAACATCTAAATTGACCACCAACATACTCTAAATTTCCTCTACTATCCTTCTTATATGTACCTCCATGCCACATCTTCAAAGTAACTACAATATTTAAAGCCATTCCCTTTTTAGTATTTTACAACCTAAAATCAGAACACAAAAAGGAAATACATTTAAAATAGTACAATCAAATAAAGGAGCCTTCTGCTACCAAAAAGCTATGTCTGTGTAAATAAAAGCATAAAAATCACATAACTTCAATTAAGTGCATTTGTAAGTAATTTCCCAAAATCAACTAAGATGTATAACTGTAATTACAAAAGATGTAACGACCCTTTGTATTTAGGAAAAATTGGAAGAGGTTGGGGATTGGCAGATAATTTACAGTTGTACTTCCAGATTCAAATTGATAGAGGTTGGGGTATATTAAAAAAAGTGAATTAAAAGAAACATTTTCCCAAGCAAAAGAAACACACGACATGAGCGAACCTTTCCCATTTTGAATTAAAGTGTACTCCATTGCAGTAATTTATTAAAAAAATCAAAATTTGTACCTTTCCGGTTTTGCTTGACCCAAACCTTTCAGCAAATTCCCTAGCAAAAGAAACATATTACATGAGCGAAGACGTTGATTATAGTCGCGGTGAACAGATAAAAAGATTAGAAGACATTAAAGGCGTGCGAAGAAGATAAAGACCCACCTGTTCCTACGAACTCAGATTCATGGTTAGCTAGGTCAGGAGGATGAGGATAAGGCCTACATGATGCATTACTTATTTTTTTTTAAGTTTGACTGACTCAACCAGTCACAGGTCACCGCAGTATAATAACGGAAGACATCCCACTAAGTTGGGATTAAACATAAATAATCTGTACTACAGATTATTAGAAGCGGACGGGTAATAGTTCTAGTCAATTTTTCCAACATTTTTTGGGGAAATAAGAAGAGAGGAGGCATTATTATTATTATTGGGAAAGAAGGAAGAAATGAAATAATATGTGATGTCGGACGATGGATATAGAAAGAAAAGAAATGATGAGACGAGAAATTGAACAGTGGGGAAAGGAGGAGGCAGTGCGGTTGGGCGCACTCACAGTAGCACACACACGCGGGCCCCATCAGTATCACTGCCTTCCCCGCTTCATCCTCTGCTTTTCTTGTTCCCCCTAGCCCACACTATACTATGCTAGATTCCACACATTTCCCCCTCACTATCCTCTTCACCGCACTTATTATTCCCACGTTCTCTTTAATTCAATCCCCCTTTTATTCTTCCATGGAACCCAACCTCGGCTTCCTCGGCGGCGGCGGCGGAGGGGACGCAGAGCTCGAGCTGGGCCTGGGCCTCAGCATTAGGACCGGGCCCAAGCCTGCTCTGTCTAAGGGAGGAGAAGAAGAGTGTGGAAGAATCTTCACTGCCAAGGACTTTCTGAATGGGTTTCATACTTCTAGGCCGAATGCTGCTGCTTTTTCTGGGGCTAAAAGGACGGCGGAATCTGTGGCTGGACCGCCTTCCACGGCTGTGAACAGGTAAAAGAAGGAACGGACTTTTTCTTCCTTCCCTTTTCTCTAGCTTCTTAGGCTGTGTTGGATCTCGGCAGGGGAGGGGGGGGGGGGAAGTGGTAAATAAATCAAAGAAAGATTATTTTATGGTTTTTGGATTTACTTTTTTAAGTTTGTTAGGTAAAAGTAGAGTGTTTACTTTTTGAGTTTTTTACGAAATTGTAACAAATAAAATTTATTTACAAAAATATAACTATTAGTTACTACTCCTATGTTGTAGCAGCGTCATACTCCATAACAAGTTAAGTTTAAAAGTTGAACATAAGTTATTATGATTTCATGACTAATTGATGACTCTACTTATCAATCACATTTTTGTAAACGGTCTCCATTCTAATCATAAATATATAATTATTTTTTACTTTTTTCATGTAATACAAATTATAAGTAAACAAAAATGTATTTGAACACGTTTTAAAAATTATAGGCTTTATTTTCAACAATACCGCTTGGTAGGCAGAGTTTAGTTTATCTATTTTTATCATTTTTCAAAGTTGTAGTTTTTATCTTTTAAAAATAATCAAAATAAGCAAATTTGGAGTTATTTCGAATTTTCGAGTTTGCTAAACTAAAATATTGTGGCTATATTATTTAGGAAAAATTGAAAATAATAATTCCAATTATTGCCTGTCCGCTAACAATAATCCCAACTATTGATTATTTTTGTATAATCCCAACTATATAGACCATCCTCCAATAATGGTCCATGACCAAATATTACCTTCTATAAAAGTGAATTTTAAATAGAAATTAAGCGTAAAAATTAAAAGTTAAGATTATTTATAGAGTTTACTTGTTATATCTCTTCTCATCCACTTCAGAAAGTACATGAATTTATTTACAGGGACTGCTATTGACGGAAGGACCCTAAAGTTGGGATTATTCTAAAATAATCGATAGTTGGGATTATTATAAGCGGACCGCCAATAGTTGGGATTATTACAATCAATTTTTCCTATTATTTAAGGTTTTCTTTATTTCATTAACGAAATGGTCCTGCTGTTTTTCATTAACGAAAAAGCAGGTAAGTGAATAATGTAAAAAGTAGAGAAAATGGTGGAAAGGTAAGAAAAGAGTACAAAAGGTTAAAAATGTAAAAATAGTTGAATATTTAAAGAAAAATTTACTACAGTAAAAAAATTACTAAAAAGGAAAGAAGACTGAATCCAAACTTAAAATAATTTCCAAAAAAAGTGTAACAAAAAAAAGAACAGGGAAGAAGTATATTTTTTCACAATTCAATCGGTTAATTTTCAGGTAGAATTTCACTATTTTACAATAATTTTCTTTCCTAAACATTTTGAACATTCCATCGTCCAAACACACCCTAATTATATTGTAAAGGATTGTTTTTTTTGTTTTTGTTTTATTAAGATAAAGTTCATATTTTTGCAAGCGAATTTCCCACATACTCCTTCCCGTTTTTGTATTTATGTGGCCGGTGGTTCTAATACGTAGTGTGAGTTAGTTTGTATGAATACAATTACGGAGTATTTAACTTTACAATTGTTATTTTGTCAAACTTCAAATCATATCTCTACAGGAATATTTATTGGCACATCGAAAAGCGATTTAAATATTTGTAATCGTTTTTGTCGGCGTGAAAGTCAAAAATATGTCTTATACGTCTCCCTCATTCTAGTGTCTTAATTCTCAAGATTTGTTTCATATAACATTTGTAATCGTTTTTATCTTATGATTGAAATTCATACTGTACAAGTTTAACATCTAGTAACATGGGTTCGTTTTCTCACGCCACACTTATGTGGGTGAAACTCAATTTATAAGAGTAAAAAAATGATTGTTAACTATACAACATTTCACCAAATACATGAGACAAATCAAAAAGTGAAGATTAAAAACTAATTGAGAAAGATAAAAGTAAAATACTCATGAAATGAACAAATAAAAGTAACTGAGAAAGCGGTCTAGTTTAGCTAGTCGCTAACTCACTCTCCCATACGGGAGATATCGAGTTCAAAACTTCGTAGAGAGAATTTCAGCCCTGTTTACGTAGACTCCCACCTCCGCCTAATCCCCTGAGGTAAAAAAAGAACAAATAAGAGTTGTTGTGTTTTATTTTTAAAATATTTCCTAGGTCTCATTGGACTTTGCAAATTTCATTTCCTGTTTGTCTCAAAACTGCTACTCCTTACTTTTCTTTTAAAGCAATGAATTTGCGATATCCATTATTTTTATGTTCTCTGCACAAATTTCAACGACACAAGTTTTACTTTTCTTATTCTTTGCCCTTTGTTTCTATGTTTTGCTCCTAAGGAATTTTCTTTTGTTACTAATCTCTAAATTTACTTTGTTTTGATCTTTGAAGTCTGGTCTCATTTGATTTGTTTGGCTCTGATTTTGTAAGTGAAAAAAAGAAGTTCAAAGTAAAAATATTCAAAGAAATAGGGTATGCAAAGTAACAAGGAAGGGGTAATATATTTTTCATGTAAAACAAAGTTGTTTGTCATAATCCAGTAGTTCAAAGCAAGTTGTATTGGGGGACAAAACTATTCTTGTAGGATGGGTATTTAGAATGCGTCATGATAGAAAGCTAATAAGTGTGAAATTGACAAGAGGCACCTTAAAGTCATTCTAATTAGGATCTTGATTGATTGCTCTATAAGCCTCTAATTTTATTTCCTTATCTGGGATTCTTCTCTGATTTTGTGGTCAAAATCTCTGCGGCCACATCCTTGACTGAACTCGCTAGATGAGTCGGACCTGGTGTGTACCGCAAAAAATAAATAAAGATAAGAACTTTTGGTTTTCTTGATGCCTTGTTGCATGAAAGGAGGTGTTTACGACCATTTGAAATCACATTCTGTATAAGAAATAAAGACAAAATATTCCTAAGATGAAGTTCATATCGTTACCCTAGCGCCGCAAAGGCTTCCACTTATGGTGGGTAAGGAGGTCAGATGTACGCAGCCTTATCACCTTATCCTTGTACTAAAGCATATAGAGATGGTTTCCAGATGACTCATAGTGGAAACCGCGTTAAAAATTGCATAAATCGACTGCTCTTTCATAACAAAGAAGCGTAGACAATTTAGTGAGACATTTTGCCTTATTCCATCATATTCCCAAGTTAAAAAGTAGTGAGTCTGGCTCTATTGCAAATGATGGAAATATTACTAAGATGGAGTTAACAAGAAAAAATGAATTTTTTATACTTTAATGATTACAATAGTAAATTTTTTTCATAATTATATTTTGGAAATATTTAAGGAAAATCAACTTTCTTCCTTTAAACGGAGTACAGTACTCTGACTTTTAAAAGATTGACATGCTCTATTTTAAATACATTTATTTATTAATGTATTTAGAAATTATAATATGAGAAATATGATTAAATTCGTCTCAAATAACGCTTCAAGTGTATTTTTATTATTCTCACTAATTGTCAATTAATTAATTAACATACTAATGTTTGTATACTGATAAATGTGAAATTCAAATTCTTAAAACTAAATATGAATAAAAGTAGTGTTTTTAAATTGGAAGAATTTGCTAAAAGTACCTTTTAGTAGCCATGGCATGATGATGAGTTATTATTAATATCCTCCTTGCTTTTAGGCAAATCCATGTTGATGATGGCAATAGAAATTTCTTTAGCTTTCTCCACCATTCCGTATCCTTTTTCTTTCTAATGATTCATCTGGCACCCTTTTTCCTATCTAAACCTTGAGAAACTAAAACCCATCTCTACTTCGTAATGATTTATACGTGGCGGTGGCTTAACTTTTACAAAGTATCAATTTTTTAATCATCGTTTGCAGTTGAGAAATCCATTAATAGATTGGCTTTATGTATATTTTATATACTCGTGATGGTGAAGCCATTTTCAGTTTGCAAGTATTTTTCACCTCTTTGTTCACCAAACTTGAAAATTATAACACTGTTAAATGTTAATTTATGTTGTACCAAAAAATATGAAACTGACATAAAAAGATTTTAACTAGTCTCTATTTAAATTAACCTTCTTTATGTGATGTGATCACTTAATATTTTTATGTTATATGGAGTATATCATTATGAATTTTATTAGAGATTTCCTAAAACATTATTAGAATAAAATACGCTTTTATTTTGAACATAATCATACTTACATTTTTATCCACTATCCTTATTTTGGTCACATATTAGGCATTATATATTTTAATTAAAACAAAAAGTGTCTCTTAAGTTTTGTTAAAAGTTTCCCTAAAATGCCATTTCTTCCTCACATTTTCCTATACTAAACCAAAACTTCATATCTTTTTTTGCAACTCTTCTATTTTCTTTCCTCTCCTTGATCTCCCCTCTATTAAACTGAATAGGGGGTTAGATTTTGTACATAGGTCTGTATTCATGTAGGTCAGCAAGAAATGATAACTTTTGAATTGCTCTAAGCCTATAACTTTTTGTTTTCAGGGGCACCAGTCAGGTGGTGGGATGGCCACCCATTAGGTCCTATAGGATGAATAGCTTGGTCAGCCAAGGGAAAGCTCCCAATGCTGAAGATGATACTGTGGGAGTTGCTGGGAATGAGAAGAAGAAGGAAAACTCAATAAATAAAATGAGCATGGGAAACAACAATGATGATGGTTGTGCTGTCAAAGAAAAGGGAAATATTGGATTTGTGAAGGTGAACATGGATGGATTGCCAATTGGGAGAAAAGTGGATGTGAGTGCACACACCTGCTATGAATCTTTGGCCGAAATGTTGGAGCAGATGTTCTTCAAGTCCGGAAGTAATGATGCTATGAATGCATTTCGTAAGTTTCGTCATCAAGTATGATCATTTAGAACTTGTTTGGTTGGGATGGCCTGTTTTCAAATAAATATACTGGTCTAACTCGCCTAAAAAGATTAAATTTACCTCATACTTATCTATTAGCCACATATTGGACAACTTCACAAGCTTTGTCAGTTCAAATCGGCATGTAGCCATGTACAAGTAAGGGGGATGGATAAATGGGTGAAACATATCCTAAACAAGCTATTCTAAAGTATGGGGTGGGAAACAAATAAACAAACCAGTTGTTCCAATATGTGATACTATATTAGATATGGAATTATGGACTTACTCATTCAAAGGAGCTCGGAAAGGTAAGGACCTTTGGCCATTGTTAAAATTCAGTGCAAGACAACTTTGGCAAACTAAATGCATTTTATACGAAAAACACTTCATTTAAAAAAAAAAAAAACTTGTGGCAAGGAAATGAAAAAAAAGCAATTGTGTTTCTAAAAAAAAGCACTTGTGTGCTTGTGCTTATTTAAGAAAGCATCATATTGGAGATTTTGAATAGAATAGAGTAACACATTTGTTGCTAAATTAAAAGCATTTTTAGCGTACGTCATCCAAAGAGGCTCTTAACTTGTGCTTTGTGTCCATATGCTCTCTCCTTTCATGCTTTAGTGCTGCTGCTAATTTACTGTCTTACTGATCTCTTGCAATATGGTTTAGGCGGAGGGAAGGAGCAAAGAGTGAGACAATCTAAGCTTTTAGATGGATCTTCTGAGTTTGCGTTAACATATGAGGATAAAGAAGGAGATTGGATGCTCGTGGGCGATGTCCCCTGGGGGTATGTAACTATTGTTGACATTGTACTTCACTTTGATTCTTCTTTGCATATGAAATGTGTGGGCGTGTGTGAACTGCAAGCGCCTTCTTGGAGCTTTTACAAGTTATTTAATTCAAAATCATTAAGGTGATTATAGCTCAAATAGTAGAATTTTAAAATTGACAGAAACTATATATAATAATGAGCTCTGTTTTTCTTTTTTCAAAATATATTTGTAGCACGAATCTATTGCTTTATTTGGTTTGCAATAGTGGTTTTTCCTAAAACGTTACTGATATAGAAGTCATGGATAAAAATTTGAGTTAGTAACTTTCAATAACTATAATTATGTTCAAAGTTTGCAATAGTGTTTTTTCCTAAAACATTACTGATATAAAAGTCATGGATAAAAATGTGAGTTAGTAACTTTCGGTAACTATAATTGTGTTCAAAGTTTGCATCATAGTCACTACATGTAGTCACTTCGATGTAAACTTTGAATACAAATATAGTCACTAATAGTTACTAAATCATATTTGTGTCCACAACTTTTCTAAGAGTGATATTTGTAAAAAATGTAAGTGGTATTTTTGTACGTCCCAGGATGTTTCTTAGCACAGTGAAAAGGTTAAGAATCTTGAAGACTTCTGAGGCTAAAGGACTTGGTATGCATCATTTACCAAGATTTTGTGTCTATAATAAAAGTTATCCATAATTCCATAGTATGTAAAGAATGTTAAAAACTACTGTTTTATTTGCAGCTCCAGGGATCCAGGAAAGGCATGAAAGATATACTGGGAAACGAATCTGAGCTTTAATCATCCACAAATCTCATTGTGGTTGCCTTGTTTCTGTTTTTTTTTTCTCTTTTCTTTTAAATATTTGCACCCACGTTCCCATTCTTGTATCCGTATAAGCGTAGTTCTCGCTATTTACCCTTATTTTCATTATCCTTTTTAATGTGTGTCCATGGGTGCAAAGTAAAAAACAATTAACGTGTTTAATTTTCAGATTCAACAAAAAGATTTGACAATTTCAAGAAGGAAAATTAAAATAATAATACTCCGTATAAAATTATAAATATTACTCCCTCCGTCCCATTTATATTATCCCGTTTTATCTTTTCGGAAAGTCCCACTTAAATTGTCTCATATCATATTTGGCAAAGTTTGTGTAGCTCTAAATCATCCTTATTTTATTCTTACTTTATCGATTAATATTAATCACACAAACTCATTTTTCTTAATAACCGTAAACCGTGCCACCCTCTCCATCCCAATATAAATGGGACCGAGGTAGTAAATATTAAATATTACTCTTTATATTATATATTTACCACATGTGAGGAAATAAATGGTTGGACTGGTAATTGACATATATAGAGGCTAGAGCATTTTTAATGGAGATGTGGATTGTTCTCCATAATAAATGGACATATCATCAATTTAAACAGCCGTGAAGTTGACATGGAGACATTAGACATACCCATTTAACATTAAAATTTTAACTCCAAGGCAAATGTGGTTTTGGGTAAATATCTCACTGAGGCATTCTCTAAAAACAAATTCTTCTAACTTTCTTCTCCAAAGCAACAGATAGCATATGTGTAATTGTGTATTCCAAAGAACTATATACACAGTAACTATCTATAAAATATTATGGAAAATTGTATTCAACGGGAGATCAAATGAACATAGGGATGGACCGGTTCTGGACTTCTGGGCTGACCGGCCCGTGGCCTGGCCCGACACTGTTTGGAACTGGCCCGGCCTGGCAACCGGGCCCTGGACCGGTCTGATTAGGCTCGAACCGGGTGTTACTATGAGCGGGCTCGGGTCATGGAAAATAGGAACCGGCTGGGCCCATTTCGGTCCTTTTTTGGTATTTTTTCCATTTTTTTTTGTGTTCCCCGGGTTGGGCTGGGTGTTTTGGGGGGGTGGGGGGTGGGGGGGGTCGGGGGTTAAATAGAAAAGCAAAACAAAAAAAATAAAAAATTGAACCAGCCCGGTCCCGGTGGAATCCCGGGCCGGTTCCCCCCCCCAAAAGCCCAGTTTGGACCGGCCCGGCCCAGAGCCTGTCCATCCCTGAATGAACATAGGGAAATCAGGGATAATGTCGACGAGGGTAACATCGAACAAGTCGACAGCTACTTCAATCCAATCGGCTTCGTCATGGCGTCATTCCACCCGATTGGCGACGACGAGGCCTCACATCCGATGCTGGTGGACGACGGGGTGGACCAAGGTTGGTGGTGGCGGGCTAGCTAATAGACGAGATCCCATTTTTCAGTGTTGGTGCTGGTGGACGACGGACTCTGACCAGATTACAGAGGTTGCGAGACTATGAGTTTAATTCCTTCTACACCAGGGAGCTCTCTGGTTGTGATCGTTTGAATTTTAGTGGAAATGATTCCTTGATCGCTAGGACTTTGAAGAAGATGCCAAGAAAATGTGGCATTCCTATGGGCTTCGAAAGATGCAAAAACCCAAATTTGTTATTGCGGGATTTGTCTATTAAATATTTTTAGTTTCAACAAGAAATTTCACATTATACGCCTTTTGTTGCTGACTTATCATGTCTAGCACGCCTTTTGAAATAAGAAGGAAGAGGGGACATTGTGGACAGTTATCTATTTCAACTCAGCACAACACAAAATGCAGACACTTTTGTTGGAGAGCATATTTTAATCGCAGTGTCTATTTTGCTCACGTGGCAATGCATTGTTTAGCAATTCATTTTACCATTACAAATGCTCTTAGACCAGCTCCAATGCAATGGGATTGCATTGGAGTTCATGTGGCAATTGAATGGAGAAAGTCTATTTAGAAAAGTGAGTCCATTATTTTAAAAAAGAGATGATATATTAAACACCCTCCAATGCGGAACATATAAAGCAAATAAAAGGACAACAGAAAAATAGAAAACTAAGAGTAAACTAAAGGAGAGCCTCTCCATGCAAATAGACCCACTTTTTTCCTCTCTTGTTTTTGTCACAATAATCCCACCTTTGCACCCCATCTTTTTTCATTGGACCCTGACAAGTTTTTTTACTCTTTCTTTGTAAATCATATAAATAATCTCACCTTTCACTTTTTTATTATATCCTTATAAATGTGAGATTATTTATATAAGATTTTCAAATAAGGCTAAAAACCTTGGTCAGGGTCCAATGAAAGAAGATGAGGTGCAAATGTGGGATTATTTTGGGATTATGTAAATGTAAGATTATTATGAGAAGACAAGTGAAAGGTGGGATTATTCTTGTCAATTTTTCCTTAAAGTTATTATCAATGGTCTAATTATATTATATACCCATAAATATTATTTCTCAAAATATATGTCGTTCTTTGGAAAATTTGAGTGGGGATGGATGTACTAATATTTTTGACTTGAGAGCAACTCCAATGTGCGGCTGTCTAGTCTTGGAAAATTATGCCAACTCATCCAATTAGACATTGTCTTTGTATTAGATCCTCCAACGCAGGTAGTCTTCAATCCATTTTTGCTGAGATGGCAAAATAACTGCTAGACACCGTCAAGATTAAAGTGCGAGAAGAGAAAGTACCCTAAACTTGCTGACTCATCAAAATCAACAAAAAAGACGGTCTACAACCATTTTCAACGTGGTTTGTATCTACTGGAACCGTAAAATGGAATTTAATTTTTTCAATTCACGACACCAGAAAATCAACAAAGATTTGTATTTTGTTTGGAAATAATTCGAAACGGAAATGGTGGGGCTTATGGGGAGACCAGCCGGCGAAATTTGTGACTCGCCGGGAAAATTCTTACTGATATTTCAAGAGTTTTGCATTTTTTCAGTCAAATCCCAAGCTGTATCTATTTGGCGAGGGCGTCAATCGTTTTAGTTGTTTTCTTTCTCTATACCTAATTTCAGAAGTTTAGGAAGAGGGGATTTGAGATTACTACCTGGTTCCGTTCATAGGGAAGCAATACGTTTTTTTAATGAAGAAGCAGTACATTCAAAACCAAATACGGAAGTGGTTTACTTTTATTTTAATGTTAATTAATAGATATACGGAGCAGTTTTAATGGGACTGGGACTATATGCATTGGACGCTTACATCTTTCTCCACTATCTAATCACTCGACTTTTTATTAAGTACCGGTGGGCGTAGCTCAACTGGTAGCAAGGGAGTGCCACAAGGGTTAGGTCTCGGGTTCGAATCCCGACAACTGCGATGAGGTGTTACTATGTTGAAAAATGCATAGGGCCTCTGCAAGTACCGGGGACAGAGCCCCACTCTCTATCTGTCAGATTGTGATTATAGTCCAATTTACATCCTCCCATCGTGCCGTCCGATCGGTGTTGGGGGGCCCTCAGGGATGGGGCGTCATCCTTTTTTTTCGACTTTTTATTAAGTGGATTAGAAGCCCTTTTAATTACTTGACATTTGGCATCTTTAATTGAGACTAGACTTGGAGGCATTGTGGATGCTCTGAGTTTGGATTTCTAGCTTTGGTTTTGCGGAGTTTTGCTCTGTTATTTATTTTTGGTTTGATACTTTGATACGTTATGTATATTTTTTTGAAATTTCGGGTAAGGAGAATATCATATTATTATCGTACCCAAAAACCTTGGTATATCGATTTTCAGTGTATCGAAATCTTGGTATCACACAAACTACACAGTTCTATAAGGTTTGAGACCGAAAAGGTGCTTGATCTCTAGTCCGACACAAACTACATAATATTTTATTAGTTGTGTTTTAGGAAAAATCTCACAATTTAATTCGTCACGAAAGGGTTGTCTTATACAGAGTATTATATTATCCTGTTTAGTAAATCCTTCATAATTCCTTTTCAGTAATTCCTTTTTGGAATACTCCACAAAAAGCGCCTTTTGAATTAGAGTAAATGTGATCTCATATGAGTATTGATCATTATTGCTATAAAATTGAAGGTCGCGATTAAAAATTCTCATGATAAGAACTTCTCATTTTAGAATGTGTTCTCATTGAAACATATGCCTTAAGAGTGATGGATTAGATTGTCAAGTTTAATTCCTGGAACCTATATCTTATCAATTAGCTCAGGAGATGTTTGGATATCTTGAGTCATTTATACTTTATAGTCCATAATTGTATTTAATATGAACAACATTTCATAAAAGAAGTTGCCTTAAAAATAGTTTGGCCGGAGTCATAGATTTTAATTATTTCACATAATTTTAAAGCGGGTTTCAAGAAGAATAAGAAAGAAATTGAAAGAAATTATACTTTTATTTAATAAGTTTGTATTTAGAAAAGGTGTTCTTGAATCAGAGCTCTTATGTGTGACTGAAACCATTACTCATGTTTTTTGTATTCCTCTTTTTCCATTTGAGGAACACAAAAAAGTCCAATGCTTTCACACACACAAAAGAGCTCCCATTCAATACACATAAAAGTCCAATGACATTTTTTTACTTTTTATTATACCAGTCATTTTTATATGAAATACTCTTCTGTATCAATTTAATGGATTCAACATACTTTACACATTGTTTGAAAAAATGTTTTACAAAAATATGCACCTTTTGATAGTTAACAGAATTGTATTAATATATCAAAATTGTATTGTAGCTGTTTTGAGTGGATTTGTTTTCAAAAAGAAAACGTTACAAGTAATTTGACACAAGTCGAAAAAGGAAGGTGGAACATATATTGTGATATAGAGAGAGTTCTAATTATTTGGGGTTCAGACGACCAATCTTGCAAGAGGAGTAGTCCAACATCTTATATAGTGTTTTAATATAAAACAAATAGTGTTTTATTAATTTACAGTAATTTGGTGTGCAATATAAATTTCAACACGCCTTCTCAGCCCAAATCGGGCTCGAAACATCGGGACGTATTAATGTGCAAACAGACCCTTACTAAGATATCCTTAAACATGAGTGCTATACAACAATCA